GCAGGAGTGACCGCTCCCAGCAATGCCGTCAGCAGAGCCCGGGTGGCTGCCCTCGGACGGAGCCCGCCTGGGGCATCCCTACGTCATCCAACAAGGAGAACATTGGGAATCAGGGAAACGATGCCGTATCGGAAGCTTTTCGGCCCGATGGGGCATTAACCACCAGAAGCAGTGACACTGGATAAAGCTTCCTTTTCTTTTTAACCCTCACCCGAGAGTATGTTTCCATGGATATAGCGAGAGTAGAAGAGGGAGGGAAAGACAGAGAGAAATATCGATGTCCTGCACGCTCCCCAACCAGGGCCCGGGCCGGGGAGGAGCCTGCAACCGTGGTAGGTGCCCTGACCACAATCGAACCCGGGACCCTTCAGTCCGCAGGCCGACGCTCTATCCACCGAGCCACACCGGCCGGGGCTGGATAAAGATTCTTAAGACGACATAGTCGACACCCGATTTATCCAAAGACGTGGACCACAGAGGAGCATGTTCCATAACCGGAGGGCAGAACAGAACGTTTTCCTGGACGGGCACTCCCGCTCCTGCTGCCCTGGACTGGGATTGAACTGTCCGGCGAGTTAATAAAAAGAAGAAAAGCTGACGACGAGGCACCGTCCCGTGTGGGGACCGGCCCTGGCTGAGGGGTTCCTCAGAACCATGACCTCACTCACTCCTGCTGACGTCGGGACAGCAAGACCGTGCAAGTGAGGGCCACGCAAAGGCCGTGCCCACCCAGCCCCCACTCCTTCCCGAGCCTCCGTCCAGCGGACCTGCCCCCCGGGGTACTCACTTGTCTCTGGGGAACTCCCACTTGGGGTCCTCGGGCAGCTCGTACTCCGAGACGCCCGCCAGCATGGGGGTGTCCGCCGCGGACGACAGGCGGGTGGTGATCCGCACCAGGGGGGTGTTGGAGTTCATGGAGGAGCTGGACTCGGCCGACACCTGGATACAAAACCCAGAGACACAGGTGTAACCCTGGCCCCCCCTGAGGGGGCTGGGGGCCGGCCAGAGCCCAGCCGGACCGTCAGCCCTCAGGAAGGAAGACACGAGGGGCTGGACACGGTCACTCCTTCAAGGCCCAAACCGCCGACTCAACGCCCCGGCCCTCCCGCCTACGGGGGCCTAAATCACATCCGAATCCTGTGTCCCGAAGGGCAGGTGTCCACACGTGGGTGTGCATGCCTGCTCCAAACACGCCTTGTCCTGCCCTCACCCCAGGACAGTCACCGAGGACGGAGACAGCCTTGCGGGCGTCACTGCTCCGGTATCGCCTGCCCCGGGGCCCCAGGACCGCGCTCCCCGCAGCCCAGCCCAGATCAGGGGTCAACGTGGTTCTTCGGACAATCAGCTCTTGGATGGTTTCTGTGTCTCTGACATGCCATGCCGAGCCCTGGCCGGTGTGGCTCAGTGGACAGAGTGTCGGCCTGCAGACCGCAGGGTCCCGGGTTCGATCCGAGTCAGGGCATGTGCCTCAGTTGCAGGCTCCTCCCTGGCCCGGGCCCTGGTCGGGTGTGGGCAGGAGGCAACTAATCCACGTGCTTCTCTCACACCCATGTTCCTCTCTGTCTTTCCCTCTCTTCCTCTCTCTCCAAAGATCAACGGGAAATACCCTCGGGTGAGGATTAACAAAAAAAAGAAAGAAAAATGTCAAGGGAGCGAACATCGCCTGGAACTGGCTCGAGGGAGGCTCTGAACCTGAAAGGCTTCCCAGCGGCGCCAAGGCCT